TTTGACCCAAGGTTTGGAGTCTCACCCCAAACGCCCTGCTGCTGCTGATTTTCAGTCTAGTTCTTGTGTAATTTAGCATCCTTGAAGTGTTCCTTTCTAAGAATGGCTGCTTGACAGTCACCCTATTACTGCCACACTTTCTTGTGTAGTTTCAAGTTATTTAAGGACACACTGCACACTATGCTACTTTTTTAGCTAATAGCTCCTTGTTGGTGCAAAATACTCTTTTATGCCTGTCAAACTCTGCTGTCATTGGCATGTTCCACAGATTCAAGTAAAGAAGCTAACGGTGTAGAGATCCAGTTTAATGTGATTCTTTGCCAACTGCTGACATGAAACTGAAACCTTTGCTAGATTTGCAAAGGCGCTGCCTCTCAGCTGTGTGAGTTCTCATTTTGACTAAAAGTTCTTGCAAATGTTTTGCAAGAACTCTCACTTGTGTGAGACCCCATGTGGACAGTCAAATGACTATTTTGACTGAAAGTCTTACCACAAGTTTTGCAAGAATATGGCCTCTCACCTGTGTGAGTTCTCATGTGGACATTCAAATGACTGTTCTGACTGAAGCTTTTACCACAGGTTACACAGGAGTAGGGCTTCTCACCCGTGTGAGTCCTTATGTGCACGGTCAAATCCCTCATTTGAATGAAACTTTTCCCACATGTTTTACAGGAATACGGCTTCTCGCCTGTGTGGATTCTTGTGTGGAATTTCAGATTTGTACTCTGACTAAAAGTTTTGCCACATGTCGCACAAGAATATGGCTTCTCACCCGTATGAGTCCTTGCATGAATTTTCAAATTTGCTAAGCAAGCAAATCTTTTTCCACAAATCTTGCAGTGGTAAGGTTTTATACCTGTGTGCGTCACCATGTGCACCGTTAAATTGCCCTTATGATAAAATCTTTTCCCACATGTTTCACACGAGTATCGCTTCTCACCTGTGTGAAATCTAATGTGATATATCAGATTTGAGCTGTCTCTAAACGCTTTCCCACAAATGCTGCAGGAATATGGCTTTTCACCGGTGTGAGTTCTTATATGGACCAACAAGTTATCCTTTCTCCTGAATGTTTTCCCACATGCGTCACACGAGAATGGCTTCTCACCTGTGTGAATGCTCGTGTGTATTTTTAGCTTTGATGCATATTTAAATCTTTTCCCACAAGTGTTGCAAGAATATGGTTTCTCATCTGTGGACGTTCTTTTTTGATGTAGAGAGTTGTGAGAGAGGAGCAGGTGACTGCTTGGTTTCGGCTGGCAGTAGTTTTTTTCCTCATAAATTACTGTTAATGGATTGGTTTCCTGGTCAATTACAAGCTCCTGTCTCTCCTGACTTGTGCAAAGTTCCGTCCATTCTTCCTTAATCTTAGCCGATCCAATGTCCTGTTGATCCAGACCAGAGTTCTCCAGGTTAAAGAGGTACAAGTCCTCGAGAACCTCCTCCTTGCAGACATATTGCTGGAGCTGGTCTGGAGAGACAAAGTGGCACATAAAACAGTCAGTGCTGTATTCATATACAAATGAAGATCTAAGCAAATTTTGTGACGGCCAACGGATTGTTAACACCAGTGGGTTCAGGTTTCACTTCAGCTGAAGCTGTTTGGTGTGCAGCATGTTGTAGGTCCAGGTTAGGGTAGATGTTTTAGTTTGAACTTCAGCGCTCTAATGCGTAGCTGTCATTTTAAAAATAAACAGCAGGATTAACACAATCAACTTGAGTTGAAATATTTATTTTACTGCTTCGCGCTCAAAATCCCAAGATGAAAGAGTCCCTGCAGAATGGATTTTCTCTTATTTGCAACACATTTTTTATATTCTGTACAGATCTTTAATCAACATTTTATTATTTTCATCTGATAAAGTTTGTGATTGGAGTAATCTGTGTATGAAACACCTCATTTTATGTGAGCGCACACGAAGCCTGAAGCAGAAAGCCAGGCCGGACAAAGAAAGTTTAACTATTATCAGCTGGTCACATGTAAACAAATGAATTCTGGCTAACGGTAGTCCATTTTATGTTCTTCACATTGGCTCCCAATAGATGATAAAATTCTTGTTTTAACATACAGAGCACTAAATGGCCCCAGCTTCTTATAAAATACTCTGCTGCTCGTTGTCTTCGCTCACAGGCTCAGAGTTTGTTGGTTTCTCCCCGAACACGACTGAAGACGAAAGGGGGCGGAGCCTTTCAGTCGTACCACCACAGTTATTTGGTTGACTCTGTGGAATCCTTTAAAAAGCAGTTAAAACGTTATTATTTAAACAGGCCTTCTGTTAATCAACACTTCTGAATTGCTTTGAATTTGCATTGTTTATATTGTCTATTTTGTTACTTAATGTTTTCTTTATTGTAACCTTTGTGTACAGCGCTTCGTGACTGCCTGTCTACGAAAAGCGCTTAATAAATAAACCTCACTTACAAAGAGACACAAAGAGTGAACAGTGGACAGAAATTTGAACATGAACCTACAACAAACCACAAGATGGGTTTTCAAGATGGCTGCCAGTGTTTTCCAACTAGCTTTTCTCTGCGTGTGAAGGGGCTCAAATGTCCTTCCTGAATCAACACATTTTTGTTGAACCATCTACTTAAATTTGAATATTGCTGAGAGTACGGTGATGTTATAATTCTACTTTTGATCATTTGGGGTTTCTGGGAAGCGTATGGTGACGTGGTGGCTACAGAGAAATGTTCCTCTAACCCCGACTTAATATTGTAGATATTTTGTTTTCTCTGACTGAAAAACAAACATGTCTAAGAAACCAAGACGTGAGCTTCTTAGTTGTGGTCAGCACAGTGTAAACCAGCAGGTTAACCTCGTGAGCCTAACGGAGGAGGCCACAGTCAAAGGGATCAGTAGACTGAACTGAACAAAGGATTGATGAACAATATTCCCGTTCAATAATCCTGATGATCTTATTCTCACTGGGTTGGACACACTGCAGCTATGCCAGGGCTACAGCTGGTGATGAGGACGCAGCATTTAGAGAGAAACACGACAGGAACAAGTCGTCCAATTCTTGAACAGCAAGAACATTTGTTTAGAAAAGCACCAGATGTCTAATTGCTACACTCTGACTGATTTTCATCTAGGCACCAAAGACACTTAATACTTGATATTTTAAAAGTTGAGCTTAAACATGGTTATAATCCTGCTGCTGCTTGTCCGGGGCCGGGCCTTGGGAGCGATCGTTATATGTACAGATTTCTTACCTGTGTCCATGTTACAGTGACTCCCTGACATGGGAGAGTCCACATTGTAATTTTTGGTTCTGTGACATTTCTTCTTTGGCTTCAGCTCCTCATTGGTGGTTGATCCCATTTCTACATGTTTAGTTCCTTGCTGGTCTCTGGTGTCCACTACAGGAGAAGTTTGAGAGAGGAACTGGTTAACGTTTGGGTCGGGTTCATCAACCACTCCTATTTAGTTAAAGTCACCATAAAGGTGCTGGTCTCCTGTTAATACAAGCAGCTTACTGGAACAGTCTTCCTCTTGTTCCTCTTTTATCAGGAGAGGCTCTGCTTCCTCCTGGACCAATCTGGAGTTCCTCTCCTGGTTACAGTGCTGCTGCTGCTCTATAAGAGCCTCATCTTTATCATTAATGACAAGTTGTTGTGGGAGGTCTATCGAGACAAAGGGACAAAACAAGGTTACATGTGTGATGACAGAAAAACACTCATACTTAGTACTGAAACACTGATCTATACTGATAAGGAGTATAGAGTGTTAGGACCAAGAGGATCCACATCATGTGATAGAAATGAAAATGATCAGCCTAGGGTTGGGCAATTGGACAATATATATACGATTGACGATAGTGTTTACAAGGGCGATTTATTTATTTATTTTCCCATGACTAGGTTTGCTAATCATGATGGAGCTCATAGAAGTCAACAGAAAAAAAATAATAGTGCTGTTTTAACAGCACCCGCTTTGATCTGCGAGCAAATGCCCCTCCTCAGAGAGCTGCAGAAGCTGGTGATAGCCTAGCATACTCAGCCGGATGGTGGACATGTACATGCTCATGCCAGTTAGTCGTGTTTGAGAGCTTTGCTCGCACTATACGTCTGCACAAGCGGCACACCACTTTGGTTACATCCTTAGGTTTACCTCTTTTATTTGGTTTAAAGCCAAAGAAATCCCAAATTGGGGACTTTATATTTTTTTAGTGCTGTCAGCGTTAATGTGCCGTCATCACAACTAATGCATTTAACAATTAACCCATATGGAGCGCAGACTGAGTCTATATCCCTGAAATATCTCTGTCAATGCATTTCGGGCAGTTTGTCCAAATTCTGTTAATTCTGGGGATTGAGAGCGTTACAAATTTAAATCGTGAGGATGATTGATGATTAAGAAATCTTGTTCTTAGAGTAATGTCAAAAAGACAGAAACCACTGCATGGTAGTGTTAGTGGTCAGTGACAGTGATGGGATGAATCTGAGTGTCTGTGATACTCATCATATTAGCGATCCTAACTAAAAACTGGTGTGTAATGTGTGGCCCTTTAAAGAGTTGATTTCGGGTTTGTGGCCCCACCTTATCCCAAGATAAAACAAAGGACTAACTTAACCATGCTGTGTTTTAGTTGAATGTGCTCTCATCCTGTATAGAGCAACAAATAACAAGACTGACAGTGAATGGAGAAACACGCACCCAGTTTCTGTTCTGTTTTTGTCATGCTTATATCATACAACCTGAACATATCAGCAGGATGTCCCATTTCCCCTTTCTCTTTGTTTAAAACATATAAAACAAGTCCATGCAATTTGGACTCAAAATTGTGTTTTCACCTTGCAAGTTAACTGATACTTGATAAATGTTTGCTGCTATTTTTGGTCAACTGCCATTTTTGACTTCCCTCTGCAAGCGTCCAGCTGCAAGGGGAGAGATGAAGGACTACGATTCATCAAGCAATGTGATCATAAATAATCCTCGACACTAATTTTTTTATGCCTGCGTTTAGATTGCATATAGATTTTGACCATACTTGAGATTATTTATATTTTTTTGCATTTAAGAAAATGTTTTCTTTCAACAATTGTTTTTATTAAATATGGCACGTACAAATAGATGTTGTATGTAGTTTAAAACATTGCAATTTCAAAAATGGAACCAATGAGGAGTTTATTGTATTCATTTTTATTTCTCTTTTGAATATTTATAACTGCTCATTAATAAGACAAAAGTATTTCTTATCAGATTACTCAATTAATTGATGGTATAATCATTAGAAAATAATCAATAGCTGCAGGCTTAATAATGTAGGAAGTTAACATTACCGTTGTGACTCAGCCCATGGCTGTGGTGAATCATCACAGGACACTGAAACATCTCAATTTCTCCAATAAAAGTCACAAAATAAAGATTTTCTCTATTTCTGTCGAGCATGCTGGTCACCAAGGGTGTAACAGGTACTGTCACGGTTGCTAGGCAACAGGAGGCGCGCGTCTTAGGTTAGACCTACAGAAGCCGCTAACTTCCGGTCTTCGTGCACGGGCAGGCCGGGTCCTTTAAAGGATGCAGCCCCTGAATTTGGACACACCCCAAACCTCACTAACGCTTACCTAAGAATCACATCACAGACGTGAGCATGCTCGGTAGCGGCGTCCATCAGCTCACCAGTACTCAAACACATAGCAGTACCACTCTGGGTTAACACCATCGGAGCGTTACCTACCGATTCTGTGTAACTTTATTTTGGGGAACTTCACAGTGATATCCTGCAGTCTGCGCTGACTGATCTCGGCCTCATTCTGGACCATCGTTTTAACAAAGACGCCGAATATCTCTTCAGCAGCAGCCGTTAGTCTCTCGCTAACAAACTCTCGCAAATACTCAACGGAACACATCGTTACTTTGACAGCTCAAATATTTCTCTGTTATACGCGAATGCAACCGTTTTCCAGCTTCAACAAGCGGCTAACTTAGAAGTAGCGCCAGGACTGTTTCCTCTGTGTGTCACATTATAAAGTTCCGGCTATAAAAGCAGGTGAACTTTTTGTTCCGTTATATATATCAGTGTATGGATCTATTACAGGGGTCGGCAACCTTTCTGATGATGAGTGCATCTAAAATTTCCTCAGAAGTCAATGTGCCATATGATTGCATTAGCAATAAATTTAATAACGCTCTATATTAACAGTTACACACTATATAGAACCACTTTACAGAATTATATTTGTTTACAGATGTTGGCAGCTGTCAGCAAATAGTTATCAGCTGTTTGGAAACAAAAAAAAGACACTTTTTATCCATAACAGCAAATGAACTGTACAACAGAAAATCCAAATGCTATTTATGGCCTCCTCACAACAATGATAAGAAACACAAACTGGGCCAGGGATACACATGTTAATGTGATCTCTGGTCTCCCACTCAGAGACACAGGTCTCCGAGTGTCCAGCATTCAGAGGCTACCTGAGGACTCATGTGAGAGAAAGTCTGCTCACACAGACATGTAGAGCCAAACACTGTCAATAAGGCCTCTGCAATGTTCTGAAGACAGTTAAGGTTGTCAGGTAGTGACGTCCAGCAGGTGAACATGCAGCTCCATGAACACGCACAGCTGTGGATTCCAGCTGCGTCCGTAGTTCTACAAACTTTGACCCCCACAGAGTCGAGCTTTTCAGTTCAATCAGCTGCATTTCGATGTCCTCTGTGTCCAACCAGTTAATGTGAGACAAATCCAGCTGCTCATTAAAGCTTTTTGGTTTGATTAGAAAAGAAAACATTGGTCCAAACACCTGAAAGCCCCGAAAACCCATTGTGAATGCTGTCTCAAGTCTACGGATGTATCCGTGTATTTCCGTGGTGCTGATGCTGCGCTGAGCAGACAGCTCCTGAAGCATTTGAAGTGTCGGAATGTGGAAATTTCAACATCGCTTGAAAAGACTACCAGCTAGCAACGTCCCTGTCACCGGTAGGCGAAGTTATTTTTAGCCAATTACAAGTTGAATCTGGTAGTTGGGTTGTTAGCTAAGATACTGTCATTAAGAAGCGGCACAACTAATTTGTCTATGCGAGCTGATTTGCGATGTGCACCGCTGGCCTGGTCATTTATTTTTTTAATGC